GCTCCAAAATATGCCTGTATTTATTTACTTGCTCATTCGACTGTTTGTGCACGCCCGCCAGCCCATAGCAGGGACAGAAATGAGTGTTTGTGAGTGATAAGACCTGTAGGAGAGGAAGAGGAGGATGAGGTATGGAGAAAGTGGGAGAAGGAGAGTGACAGAGAGAGGCAGAGAATCTTCATTGATCACATCTGTTCAGACAAGGATTGATCCTGTGGTGTGGTCTACTCTGGAATCTAAACACACTGACAATCACACACTTACACACAGATAAGAGAATCACTCACAAACCTAAAGAGTAAATGGGGACGTGAAATTTCAGCAGACTTTATACATATTTAAGGGGAGCTTTAAAGAAGCCTGCACAAGGGAAACAGAATATCAGTTTCTCTTTCAAAGTGTTTACATTATACCTTCACCTTCGAATTAAGCCACTGAATCAGACACCTGGCATATGAAGAGACAGATAAATAAATCTCCATTGTGGTGTCCTGTCTCGCGCATGCTCAGTAGCTCCCTGGCTGAGCAAGGAGTCCGCCAGGCAGACATGGACAAGACAAATCATTCCCATGAGGGCATTTATTTCTGTTGCACAGCACCATCCCCTCATTGTTGGTCCTAACAATCTGCCTTTTGAGACTATACCATTGTAATAAGACAGCACAGCAGAAGAAGGAACTAGAGGGAAAAAAGAAAGGATGTGATAAAGGGGAAGACAAATGAAGACTCCCCGGGTGCTCGATAAATCCTCCACTGTACACATGCAGGGTAATGCACAACCCAGCTTTGATCATATGAAGTGTGACCCACATGGATGAGTTATATTATTTTCAGCACAAAGTGGAGCTCTCGCATTCAGCTTGTTTGTTAAGATACGGGAGCGTGGTGATGTCTGCTAAGTGCCAGTTGTCACCACAGTTCTCTTCTGTTTTTTACTTGTGAGAAAAAAACAACAACATATAAACAAGTGGTGGAGTTTGCAACCCCCACCCCACCTCCTCCTCTTCCTGTTCATCTCCTTTGGTCTCAACTCTGCAGCTGACTGCTCCTAAATCTCGAGTCTGGCCGGGGCTAGACAACTCTCTCTACCAGATGACACAGCATCCCATTTCCCTCCATCCATCCATCTCGACGTGGCCCACACCGTCGTTCTTTCTCTTCATTTCTTTCTGTGCTGGATCCATCTTTTATTGGTCTGTCTCCGAGCTCAAGAGCAACATATCTCCCTGTCTTCCTCTTTATTCAATATGTTCTCTCTCAAACACACACACACACACACACACACACACACACCAAACATTTCCACACTGCCTTCTTCTTTTATAATTGTCTTTTTCTTCTTTCCTCCGTCTTAGTGTTTTCTCTTCTTTTCTCAATCTTTTTTCCCTTCCGTCAACAGAACACGCGGTGTTTGTGTAGCTTTTGTTGCACAGCTCACTGCGGTACAAAAGCCTTTGTTGGCCTGCCACCACTGCGATGTGGTGAGACGGAGACGCACAAGGACAAATTTGAGCTGTGTGGAGCAAGCTTTCAGAAAGTCACCATCCATTCTGACATCACAGCTCAACCTGAAGGCTGGAGTAGCTGGTGGGGTCCGAGCCAGACACACACATAAACACTTGCCTGCGTAGTTGACTGTGTCGGTCTGTGTGTGTAGCTGGATGAAATCTGTCTATAAATCGTCCCATGTCAGTGCAATGCTTAGCATTTCCATCAGTGAAATGGCTTGCATGTGTTCCTCAGTGGGAGTTATTGCTGGCTGCAGGGCAGCGGCAACTGTTGTAAGGGGCTGAGCAAGCTAGGCTAATAATAACCCTGAAGCTGAGTGAGTGCCCACTTGAGTTGACCCCTGGAGTCCAGTTGCAGTGGTGAGTGACGATTAGGCTATAGGTCATGGATTAGAGAAAAGTATTTTACCCTTGTAAAGAAAAAAAGGCAGGTGTGCAGGAATACTACACACTCAGGGGTTAACATTAGGGTTGTAATACTGTAAATGCACCACTTTGTGTAACACAAAGTGATACACAGAGTGTTTTTTCCTCCCAAATCCAGCTAAACAAACAGGAACACACAGACACACAGTACATAGAAACACAGCCGAAACATCATCAGCAAGTTTTTTTTTTACTTATTTATTTTTTTTACCTTGAACGGGGAGTAGAGACACTGTTTTATTAAGCAATGCCAGAGTTTCATTAATCTCTCCAATACCTATATCTGCGCTGAGGAGAATTTGACAAAAAAAAAAAAAAAACAGCACTGGACAAGCACAGAGATATTGCAAAATGGCTGAATAACATGTAAGATCAGTTCCACCGCCTCCACATGGAGGAAATAATCTGAATGGGAAGCAATTTTCTTCCTTGTATTGTGGTCCCCGGAGTCACAACATGATCAATTGCTCATTATGACAAAGGCAAAAGGGTCAGAAGATGATGATAAAGACAGTTCTTGCTGTTTGCTAAATTTATATGTGAGTTTTTTCATATCTGAGAGCAGAGTAAGATAAGGCAGAAATTCAAGTATAATGTCGTGCTTGGTCTTTCCAGCTTGTAGGTCTGGATCAGTTGTGCGTCGATGCATTTGATAGGCCAAATAACCTCAGTGGCTGCCTCCTTTCCTGCTCATTTCGCAATTCACTCTATTACTTGGGTGAGCAATTATAGCTCGGTGTTGGTTTTTTGGCACTGTTTTATGTGGTACTGTTTGTGTATATGTCTATGTGCTGGCATGTGTGTGTATGTGGATCTTGATTCAAGACCATGTTCTTCAAGGTTCCTTTCCAGACTGTCACCTTTCTTAATGAGCTTCAGTCTGTTTCTGAAGAGGTTGAAAAGGACACCATTTAGCACTGAATGCCTGTGTGCGCCTGTGATATTACTTAATTAAGCCAAAGCGATCAGATTGCCTGGCCCTTTAAGTGCGAAGTGTGGGTTGAATCGCACTGTAGCACTGCTAGCAAAGGGCGACGCAAAGGGCTCTGGTGAACAGATGGAAGACCTGAGTCCAGTTCTGAAAATGAAATTTGAAGCACTCTATACACTCTAGTTTAACAAAACTGCTATAAATGTCTCACTTGGTCCTGATTTCCTAGTTGTCCTCTCCATCTCTAAGCTCTCCTTTCTTTGCTGGCCCAGCTGCTTAGTGTGCAGCTCAGTAAAACAGGACAGGTGAAACAAGACAGCAGGGCATCACTGATACAGTTAAACAAAACCACAGGCTATTCAGAGTTCGATCCGCTCCTCAACTGAGAACAAAGGTGAAATTATATCCCATTTAAAAGTAGTTCATGTGCCTGTACCATTGCTATATTTGTTTAGTTAGGAAGCAGCAGTTATTACAGTGAAATATGTCTTTTGTGTTGAAAGGGGACTACTCTGCACTTCTTTTCGTCTTGCACTGCACAGATCAAGCAGCAGGCAGAGAGCAGCTCGACCGGGTCCAGCAGCATGGAACACCTATTCTGTAACATTCTTTTCCGAGATGTGCTGAAGCTGAAATACGAGCATTATGAACCTGTCTTCTGGCTGAGAACAGATTCCTCCGCAGGCCTGTAAAGCTGCTTTTGCTGCAGACATGACTTACAATAAGAGACTGTGCAAGTGTCCTTGTGAGTGTCAGAAATCAATTATGCTGTGTTTCCCCTGTGGGTCACAGGGTTGTATATGTATATGTACAAGTGTGTGACTCTCTAAAATACAATCACCAAAACTTCCACTGTGTCTGGGAAGAAATTTCCACTGTGACTTTAATACAGCAGAGAGCACAGAAGGACAAAGAACCGTCAGTCTGCACAGTGTGAGAACACAAAATCAGTTAAATATGCTGACTGAGTTTCGGGCTGCTCTTGATAAACAAAAAATGCACGTATGTTGTCATGCACAAATCATCACAAATAAGCCTGCATGCACACAAGTGTTCACTAAAATCACTGTGGTTTAGCTGAGCTCAAAGGATGTCAACCAACCATGAGCTTGCGAGTGTGTCTTTGGCTGGAGGAATGCTGTCGCTCGTCATTCCGATGCGTCTTTCTCTGCATGTTTAGACAGGCTCTGTCTCCAGCTGGGCTTGTGACAGAATGGGTACAGTGGTACAACACAATACAAAACAATACCACAGTTGTGATTAGTAGCAGTTGTAGAGCAGGACAAAAGATAAGAATCACAGGCCTGCAGCACTGAGATCGCTGCTTTTTGTACCTCTCAAATGACATTAGCACCTTTTTTAATCAAAAGCTTTGCAGTGTAGAGAGAACAGCATTTGTTTACTGTTCCAGCAGAGAAAAATCAAGTACTTAATGTGACACTTAGGGAAAAATATATCTTTTGAGAAGTAATTCCACCCTGCAGGCCTGAAAAGTGGCTGGAAAAAACCTGCAGGAGTGGTTTGAGAAGTTTCTATGGGCCTGTTGAGACTTCGTCTGCCTTCAAACTGTGTCACCATGCAGTGGAATGCAGTATCCTCTGTGAACATTACAGTCAACATTCAAACCTACAGGCATTGAGTCAATAGATACAATTTGAGTGAAGTTTTACTGTAAAATCAATATAATTTTCAATTCTGTTTTTAAAAAAATACATTTTAAAGTGTGGCATTTTTCTTACAAGCATATCTCTGCTAATTTCACTAAATGCCCGATCTCTGCATCAAGGACTCCATATCGGCTAGCTGTGTAAAATCACTAAAGAATACATGGGTAGTTGAAAACATGCTGGTAGATCTGACTGAGGTAAATTTGTTGTATCGGGCTTGCAACTTGCATTAACAAGTTATATTAATAAACACAGGCAGAGAGACCTAATGATTTGCTGTATGAATTTAATACGCTATAAAAGAATATGCTAAATAGAAGAGGGGGCAGAGAGGTAGCAGAGGAAGGTTTGAACTCGTGGAGTGGAGCAAAGGAAGAAATGTTGGGTCTTTGAAATGTTAGAGATTGGTTCAGAAACAGAGAACAAATGAAGTGAGGTTGAGCTCAGGGGAGGGCTAGGATAAAGAAGGGGATAAGATAAGGACTTAATTTAGATGTGGAGGTGCAGAAACTGAAAGACTGACAAAGAGGTGAAAGCAACAGTCTGTGCCGGGGTGACCGCCCCCTTCAGCTGGTCATGCAGGACTCGTAGGTGGGCACCATGTATTTGATGTTTATGAAGGCATCCTCTCCTCCATAGCGCTCAAAGACCTCCAAAGTCTCCTGGATCAAATCACCGATGTTCTCTCGCTTCTGTTGGCTATAGTCGATGCCATCCCCTGAATTGACTAGGGAGAAGAAGACAGAGAGACAGACATTATTATTCAAAAAAAACAAAGAGAACTTCAGTCTGGGGCATCACAGACTGTGTGAGCCGCAGTGCTGTGCTGCGGACTGAGCCAGCAAACGCCATCCTTCCATCTGACTTCAAACCCAATGGACAGACTGAATTTAATTCACTCCTCTTATGCGGACAGAAGAACTTTTAACTGTTCCACTGAAAGTTTAATGAGGCAGCCCACAGAGAGGAGAGCAGCGTAAAGGACAGATGATTTAGTGACTGCTCTGCTGTTGAACAGCGCTCCGTTGATACACACAAGGCATGAGCAGCGACCTGCAGTCCAGCTCTACAGGTAGGTGCGTGTGTTTAAGTGTCTACATTTTGACTAGAATCAGTAAAACAAACTTAACCCAGTCAAAAATGTCCAGTAATGAAAAGGAACTACTCTGCTATGGGAGCATGATTTAGCATTTTTTCAGCTGTTTCATATACGTGTGGCCAATCAAAATACAAAAGCTGCAGAACCTCCCCTCCCACAGGACACACAAACACACAGTTCAGTAAAACATGCAAAATTGTACAACAGGGCTCTAGCGTGCTAGGGGAACTTCTTATTGAACAAACATTCCTGAGATGTCCAGCCTCCACTCCTTCCCCTTCACCAGCCGACACACTTACACACACAGATCGTGGCATTATCAGCTTGGTGCATACTGCCAATCTCATTGCACTGGTGGCTCAAAATACTTTTCCGAGGCAGGTAAATAGAGAGAGGACTGAGGCAGGTACACACACACTTCCAGGCACAAATGTCCTGTTGAAGTATCCTGAAGAAAAACTGTGAATTTATTTCGTTGGGCTACAAAATTAAACAAAGAAAAACAGTGAAGAAGAGAAGAATGTATCATCAAGTGTGCTTGTGTGACAAAATTAACAGCAGCCCTTTAAGGGGGGGGGGGGCCTCAGGACCCCTAATTAGACCTGGAGAGTGAAGGGGACATTAAACCTTTCTCTTCCACTTCTTCCTAACACTCCATCTTTTGTTCTCAGTCTTTCCTAATCTCTCATCTTCCTTGACACTTGACATACTCAACCCTCTCTTCTTGCCTTTCCACCCATCCACAGCCTCCTCATTAAAACACAAAGAGAGCCCTATAAAGTGGACTGTTACGCAGTAGCATATCTGTGATTCCAGTCTGCTGTGTTCGCTTTCTGCTCAGGATTTGCTCCCGTTTTACATCAAAGCGACAGGGGACACTTCTCCAGTTGTGCTTAGCCTAAGCGCAGTGCAACTCAAACAGCTTTGGCTTTATTTATCAGCTATATATGGATTTCTTTTGAAAATACAACAATAACTGCATATGTGAAGGCCTGCAGCTTTTAGATAAGAAAAGCTCATGCTCAGTCTAAACTAAGGCTGGGTTTAATTCTTGTGTTACCCACAACAAAGGCTAATGCACCCTACCAGTTGGCAAAATCCTAAACAACATCTAAATGCAGCCATCTGAGCAGCAAAAGAAACAAGGCATCCAGGCAGGAATGGAGACGAAAGAATGCTGCGATGTGTATATGCTGGGCGGGAGCATGTTTAGCCCACATGGGATACATAACATTACCGGCTTCATCAATCTATTGAAGCGACGGCTTTCTATGATTCAGACATACTGTAGGTCTCTTTTAGCTACAATATATAACTTTTTTCAGATATTTTTGTTGTAGGGTTCTCATTGAGCTCATTCAGCTATTATGTTCTGATGCCGTCAAATTATGGAGTGTGTTTACAGTCTGTTTCAGCCAGGTGGTGTGTGGGTGTATGTTTGTGCGCGTGCATGCATTTTGTTGTAGGATTAAGAGCCATGTCCACGAAGAGCCACCCTCTGGTTAGTGTGGAAATGAGCAGCCAAAGCCACCCCAGAGGGAGAGGTTGGCCTTCAGACAGAGAACACGGGGAAACGAGGAAGAGGTGCAGCTTGGGAACCAACAAAGCTCAGACCCATTTACTAGGGCCTGGAGGGGGGAGCAAGGAGGTCCTGCAAGAGGGGAATTGTTACTCTAGCTATACTGAGCATCTCCAAGTGCATATCTATTGCTGAGCTGTTGGAAGGCCCGCAGCATCAAAAGGAAGAGGCCAGAGGAATTTGCAGTGACTCTCAATATTTAAAGAGCAGAAAGAGGAGAAGTGTGTTTAAAAGGGGTATGGAGTAGAGGGAGAGGAGGGAGTGGAGGGAGTGAGGGTGTTAAAAGCTGCCTCTCCAAATGTCCTTCAGCAAAATAACTTCTTTCCCGCTCCTCTCTCCCGACCCTGTCTTTTTTTTCCTCTGCTTTTGGCAATATCCACAACTCCGGGCTGAGAGGGAGAGAATAAAATCTAAAAACAAAACAAAACAAAAAAAAAATCCTGTCCTGTGAACAGAGGGGAAAGGGCCCTAGCAGGAGTTTGCTGCATGTTCCTTTGAGGAAGAGGAAGGGTCGATACTGACGCAGACAGGGGAGGATTCTCAGTGGAGCGACATTTGCGACACAGAGGATGGAGGAAGAAAGGAAGGTGGCACAGAAAAGGTGCTTTGTTTCTGCCTTTCATGCTAAATCCCTGGGATTGGAGAGGTCTTTAGCGCATAGACCAAGGAGGTGAGGACGAGAGAAGGCGCAGGTGAAAGATGAGGGAGATAAAATGAAGATCTATCTATCCTTTTCTTTCATTAATGCGACAGGGACTCTGCCTCTCTTGGACTCTTCTGTGATTTCTGCCAAACCACAAGGAACCAACACACAACAGCTGCAGCCTTCCCTCCTCCTCCTCCTCCTCCTCCACCCTGCTCTTTCGCCATCCCTCATTCCCCAAGATCCTAAACAACCTGTCTTCCCACATCAAGCTGAGGACAAGCAGTCACATATGCAGGCAGCACTGTTTCCTCCAAACTAAATTCAAATATATTTTTTGCTGGCGAAGTGGGTCAGAGGAACAGACCTCATACTGTTTTGTTTCTCTGAAACTGTAACAAAGCTGTACTGTTAACCCTGACTTAAGACTTCTGACCATTTCCTTATTTCCAAGTCACCTCCAGCTCACGATGCAAAATGTGTAAGCTGTTTTGATTTTTTCTACTCTGCCAAGACTTCATCCACAATTCTTTCCCTCTTTTTACCTGTGCAAAACACAGCACACATGAGCGCTACTGCTTGGCGATGAACGTCCGCCTCCATGTTTGCTTTGTTCTGAAGTCACGTTTGATCATGTGAATTTCTGTGAGATCCCTGGTCCCTGGAATCGGTGTCTCTGAAATCATTCAGTAAAAATGGCAAGTTTGTGGTCCTGCCTCTTGACAGAATAGTCTAGTGTGTGCTCTTAAGATTAAAATATGAATAAAATCTGTTAAAGCTGTTATGTCTGTGGTCTCTCACAGTTTTAAGATTAAGATTATAAAATCAGCCTTACCCCTGATTGCAGAGGTTCCTTCTGAAAACCGCTTAGAGGAGGTCCATCCAACACAATAGCACGTTGATCATACTGTAGCAGGCAGACGCAAGAGAATCAGTGGATGTAAAACCGGTTTGTTTGTTTTTTTTAACTCAAGGGTCTTGGGCCTTGGCCTTGCTTGAAAAGGGAAATGGAGGAATGCAGGTTATGCGTGTGATGGAAGAGCTTGAGTTCCAGGAATACTTTGTGCAGAAGTAGTCTGCGACTGCACAGCTGAGGGTGTTATATGACTGCAGGTGTCATTCTTTCTCATCAGCAGCCACACACCAATAACCCTCCGCCCCAAGCCAATTTTCTTCAGGGCTCTATATCAGCATAAAGAACAGACGTTATCTTTTGCATTAGTAATCTTTATTATAAGTTTCATATATATAAACGTTTTCTAAAACAAACATCCTATTTCCCCTTGCGGAAAAACACTACAATGAATTTTAAAACTGCTAAATATTTACCATTTCCCTCCCCCATGAATCATTAAATTATCAACAGATGCTTCTTCTTCTGTGTCAACTGAAGGTGTAGAAGTATGAAATTCTGATTCAAAATGGTAGATGGAGAGACCAAATCCTACACGAACACAGTGCCAGAAACACTGAGGCTCATGAAGATACCTTCTCTTTTTCACTTAGACTTTCTGTGTGGAATTTTGTACACGGTGTAAACAACCATTGCAATTATCTTCTTTAAATGGATGGTTAAACACAAATGTGCATTTTTTTCCCTCTGGTAAATAAGATGAAACCTAAGCTGAGAAGCAAAAAAACAATCCCACCACACTGATGCATGTTTGACATGGATTGTGAAGGTGTAATGTGAATTCCATCTTGATTTGCAGGAAAGACATCCTGCATACATAAGTACATACTATATGCAGAGACTATGTGTAAACCAGGCCATATGTACAGAAAGAGGGAGAGAAGCATAGTGGTGGTTGCTTGTGGTGGTGGTGTATGTGTGTGAGTCACATAGGGTGTGTAGGTGTGAAGAGGTGGTGGGGAGTGGATGGGACAACTGGAGGAGGCCTGTGCTTAACAGCAGGGCTCTAATTAAAAGGGCCTCACAGTTGGGCATCAGGCAGGGCTCTCATAAAAAGACACTCTGGCAGAGGTGGGGGAGCTCGGATGTGTGAGTGTGTATTTATATGTGTGTGTGCATAACCACAGGTGTCTGTGAAGGGAAGACAGGAAGACAGAGTGAACATTTCCCAACAGTGTGTATGTGCTCGTACATATAGAAGTAATTACATTGTGTAGTTTTGTGGGTGTGAAGTGTGTGTGTGTGTATATACACATACAGACACATACATGGAAAGAGAATACTACTACAAATACAGCAAGTTAGGTAGCATGTGGAAAAAGAGGGAGGGAGAGATGCGTGAGGAGTTAGTTTAGAGGATTATTTATTATATTATATTGTTTCATTGCAGAATCAACAGCAAATTCATAAGAGTGGTACCTGTTAAACTACTAATAGAACAATAATGTTATAATGTTTTTGTTGATCAAAGGTGTTGTTTCGTGTAACTACTC